TCAATATATTTTATAGAAAGGAAAATGAAATCGTCATAGGACTTCGATCGATCATTCCTTGTTTAAATTGCAGCTTTCATTTTGACTAATCGTTTATTATAAACTCTTTGTAGTGTCCCCGTCAGTCGGGAGGTACCGAGTGTGGATATTATGTTTGTAAGTTCATGAAAGAGATAGTCGAGAATGGACTTGAAGTGCTGGTCAATAAGAATGTAAGAAAACTTTTCTGATACACATATGTCATATCATACATACACATTAGTCATACAATTATCCTATGCACTTGAAGTATGATGTTATTCTAAACAAATTAATTCAAGTACTTGTTAGCAAGACTGAAAACTGTGAATTCGTGCCGTGATAATGTATATAATTTATATGGGAAGTTTTAATAATTAAATGTGTAAAATTTATTTTTACATATGCTTTAAAGAATGCATATGTAAAATGGGTCATTTTAGTACTCTTTGATAGTTATATACTTCACTTTAAATAAGTATAAATTATATACTTATTTTATATTTTTTACTTAGGTTGGCGATGGGAAAGAAGAATACACGGGTGATGACGATGATATTCGTAAAGAATGGGTATCTTATGTGGCAAACTTTATAATGTTGTGATATTTTGTATCGACATATGATTACAATATTTTTGATAACTTAATGTGAATATATTGTATGCAAATGGATTGCTTATGTATAATATGATATATATATTTAGTATCATGAGGCATTAAATGTGTTTTAGTTTGATTATTTGTCAATCTACAATATATATATATATATATATAATTTACGAAATACAATCACGACACACGAATGTGTGTCATCTTTTTTAATGATGTGTTCTTCAATGACACGCAATGTAAGTCATACATGCGTGTCATAAATTTATGACACACAAATGTGTGTCATCTTCATTTATGACGGGGGCTTCAATGACGCTAAATGAGCATCATAAATGAGCGTCATAAATGAATGTCATAAATGTGCGTCATAGATTTATGACACACAATTGCGTGTCATCTGAGATTTATGTCGGTGGCTTCAATGACCCGCATTTGTGTGTCATCTGCACCCATAGATGACACACAATGAGCGTCATTAAAGGGGTTTTTTCTAGTAGTGAGCACATAGTTAGAGTTATTCCTTAGGCCCCTGCTACCCCATCTGTCCAGCCAGTCCAATATGTTCATCTAGTTGTAGCATCTCAGGAAACCCTAGTAAAGAGGCTATGGAGGTACCGGGCCACTGAATTCTTTGGGTCAGGGGATGATGATCCAATCGTAATCGACTAGTGATTAAGGAAACCCTTAGAACCATCCGTCAGTTGCATCTTACTGCCAAGAAAATGTTAGAGTGCATTATCTCGCTGCTAAAATGTGAAACGATAGATTCGTGAGAGACAATGGAGATGTCGTTAGAGCCCGAGCGACCCACCTAAGACCGATTTTTAGAGGAGTTTCGTCAAAAGTATATAGGAGAAGCCCACATGGATGCAATGAGAAATCGATTCACTTAGTTGATCCAAGAGGACATATTAGTATTCAAGTACGAGGTGGAGTTCCTCAGGTTAAGTAGATATACTTCAAATTTAGTTCCGTCAGAGCATCATCATTTCTAAAAGTTCAAAGAAGGTATTTGATTAGATATCTTGACTAATTTAGCTACCAATCCACCAAGAGTCTTTTTTGAGCTAGTTCACCAGGAGAAAGTAGTAGAGAGAGTTGTGACAAGGAGAGCAGTGGAAGAAGACTCTACTTCATGCCTGGGTGGAGAAATGGTAGAGTCAGTAGAACTAATTCAACCATGTAAGAGGGGCATAGAATCTTAGGAGCCTGGGAGAGTCATGGTAGGTCAATCTAACCAACCAACGTAGAGTGCTAATGGAGGAGGAAGTAGGAGCAGTCAGTGTAGGAGACCATTGTTTACTGCACCAGTAGCTAGTGTTGAAGGATCGTCAAGAGCGCCTTCTTATCCTACTTGTTCTCACTATGGTAGGAAGTACCTAGGAGTTTATAGGTTTGGGGCTCAGGGTTATTACCTCTGATGGTCTTTAGATCATTTTCTCCAAGATTGCCTAGAAGCTCAGAGTGTAGTTCCAGCTTCGACGCAACAGTCAGATCTAACAGTCCAGAGGGGCAGAAAATTTCAAAGAGAAATAATTTCATATGTTCAGGTTGGTAGAGGTGTCATTCAGCCTGGAGCTAGTAGAGAGCCCAGAGTTGTAGCCTATCAATTTGCAATCAGAGCTAATGAAGAGGATTATGCAAATGATAAGATCTCAGGTAACCTTACCCTATTTCTTATTCCAGTAATAGCCATAGTTGATTTATTGACCAACTCTTAGAGTTAAATGTCGTAGAAGTTGAGATTAGTAGTAGATGTCTGTTGAAATTTTGAGGATGAAATTTCCTATTAGGAGAGGAGAGCTGTAATGCCCCGATTTTTGGGTCAGTAGTTTCGGTCAACCTAAAACCCGTAAGTCAATCCAATTAGACCTCTTAAGATAGTTGGACCAGTTTAAAAAGGGTATTGGGCTTAGGTTGACCCAATAGTTAAAGGATAGTGGTGTTTTTAAAAATGAGTTAAAGAGAGAATGACTAAAAGTGTAGCTTACCCGTAGCTTCTTTTAAAGGTTAAAAAAGCCCATTATCTCCCTTATTTTTCATGTGAGTCATTTCTTCCCATTTTCTTCTTCTCCAAACTCTTCTTCTTCATTTCTTATACTTAGTCAAGATCAAGCTCTAAGGAAACCTAAGCCTAGATTAAAGCAATCAAGGTAAGAAATTTATTCTTAATCTTCTAAGCTTCCATTAGAGCCCTTAATTTCAAGGTTTGACTTAGTTTTTCAAAAATGGGTTTTTATGGGTTTTTAGAAATCATGTATTTTAAGTCATTTTAAGAGAGTGTTTGAGTTGTAGAGAGTGTATCTAAGCTTTATCCAACACCTAGTTAAGTAAGTAATCCATTTGTATATCTTGATTAGTTAAAGAGGTTGAAGAGAGAGTTCAAGCCAAGAGAAAAGGAAGAGTGGATCCCTAGTTAATTAAAGAAGTGTTCTAGCATCCAAAGAATCCAAGTAACACACTGTTAGCTTTTCCATACTAGTAGTAGAATCATTTTAAAGAAGTTTAGCTTGAAAGTTTAGTTTAAGCATGTTTAGTAAATATTCATGGTAGGTTATATGTTTTATGTTTTTAGTATGTATTAAAGCCTTATTTATGCTCCTTGAATATCAAATAAGACTTTAAGAATGTTTGGGGACCTCACTAGGGTTTTTGGGTTTGAAAAATAGAGTTTTTCATGCTTGTTTTATCGCTTCTGCCGGTAAAATATTGATATTATAGGGATAGTATCGATACTTGTTCTTCGTTTTGGGGTAAAAATGAGTTTTCTGGGTAGGAGTATCGAAAATCCCAGAAAGTATAGAAAATAGGAAGAACATAATGCTTAAAAGTATTGGTACTTATATAAAGTATCGAAACGTTTGTAGGAGTATCGATACTTTTAGTCTGTTTTGGGCAGAAATGTCAGTTTTTGAGGGATTTAGACATGAGGCACCCCAACACTTCATTATATCATCAAACAAGACTACAAGTGATAACATAATTGATGTTAATTCAAACTTAGAAATCAAATAATTAGGGACAAATAAGAATAGCCTTGTTTAATGCTTGGGAAACGATTCAGACACACGAGTTCCTTTAGAAAAGCTAGTGGAGTTGAAAGTATAGATGCAGTCCAAATATATCCTTAGGTAAGGCGCAATGCCCTCAAAATCGACTAACTAAGGTCGAGTCCTGACACTCGCAAGGGGTGGGTTAGTCAGGGGTATGGTGTCTGATGTAGAATTTCAAGGCCCATATCTCAGTAGACTAGAGGGGTACGTGAGCTCCGATATGCAGCATGATGTCTACAGTAGCATAGAAAGTGTGTGTATTGCAAGGATATTAACTAAGAAAATCAGATCAGTAGACTTGATAGCTAGCCTTCCAGTGATATGCAGCTAGTAAATTTTATCTTTTAGTGCGTCGTTGAGCTAGTTAGCTCAGCCTCCGGATGTTTCTGTGGGCAGGTTAGTAGATCAAGTAGTTGGGAAGCAGTAGATAAACCAAGGTCCAGACCAGTCCAGTGCAGATTCAAAGTTTTGAAAGGGCATGTATAGTTGTAAACTTTATTGTCCAGTTGAGTCGTAGTTTCAATAGAGTGGTATGTATAGTTTTTGTAAAGTGTAAATACTTTAGTTTGGAGCTCCTCAGTGTAAAGATTTTATTTATTCTTCAGTTTATTTTACAGTTGTTTTAAATTTAAAGAAAGTAAGAAAAAGTTGGTCAGCCACTTCGGTGGTTCCATGTAGCACTTTAAATTGGTCAACTGTGTTGTACTGGTTTAGAGTGTTACATTTTCTTCTCCTCTCCTCTGGGTAGAATCATAATTATATTTAAAATTTATGAAAAATTATTAGTTAGGAGTTACAATACGAATCATAGTAATTTATTAATTGTCATCTGATACTCTCTTAAGATTTAAAAAGGTTATATGATTGAAATTTTGAATACATGTATAATGATGAAGTCTTGCTTAATAGATTTTTGCTCTATTGATCAATCATTGTACAAACTACTACTCCAATATTGATAAGTTCGATTTCATTAGGTGAATTCAGTAATAAACGATAATGTTGTTCTCTTTAAAATTTTATGTTTAAATAACTGTCTTCATGATATGTTTTATACTCATCATAGACTATTACATACCACGTAGTTTTACAATTCTGAGTATGAATGACTTTGTTTTTCTTTATAGGACTCAAAGATTGAAAGTTGAATATAATCTTAAGTGATTAAAAGAATATTGAACCAAATAATTTAATAATTTTAACAAATGTATATTTTCTAATACCATATATTAATAACAAAACTACAGTTTACTACTTTATACGCCCACAATACAACTTTGTAAAAACCACAAAACAAATTCAACCATTTTTTTTACATTTAAATACATCAAATTATCAAATATGGGTTAAGTAGAGCACCATTTGTCTTATTGATAACCTCCAATGTTTGGGGGTATCTAGGTTGAAGCTTGAAAAAGGGGTGACGTAGCCGCTGGCTGTAAGTCCATGGGGAAAGTGTAAAAGTCATTCAAAGAGAGACGATTGTCGCAGCTGCTGGGGCTACTAGAAGCCGATCCATCCAATCCTATGTGTGTCACATGCTTTACTTCTGTTGGGAATCCGATTTCCATCTCGTTTTCCGACTCTTCTATTTCTTCTTTGTAGGCTGAAAACCAAAAGAGTTATATATATGAGTAACATTGATCCGGAATTTAAATTACGACTGCAGTCGCGTTTTCAGTTGTGTTGTGTTTATCGCGATTACAACAGTAGCGTATATTATTGTGGTCATTTTTAACTATCGCGATTGTGCAGCAATGATTTCCGACAATACTTTTATTACTATATAAGGGCCATTATTCTAATAGCGGACCACTATTTGAGTCCTGCAATCGATTACCGGAAGTTTCAGATGCCGAGTTTCAAGCTTAAAGATAATAGTTCGTGAACTAAATGAGCTAAGCTTAGGTTTATAATCGATAGAGCTTTTGAATTTTACAAATGGTGTTGAAATTGCCTAGTGAGCTTCTATATGGATACATGAAACTGAGCATAAAGAAGACACAGTAAACCTTTAGTAAAATAATATTTGTTTCGGACATGTATGGTAGGAGAGAGTGTTGATTTCTCTATATGTCTCGAATTTAAATAGTTATGTGTCTACGGTGTATGCTTGTTGCCAATATTTAAAGAAGATTCTAAACAAATAATATATTGTAATCATCACATACTAGGTCCGCTATCGAAATAACCAGGGATAGATCTATTAAGCATATGGGAAGGGCTATGACCCCAACTCAATAATTTTTTATATTTAATTTATATGTAAAATTAAAATATTTATGAGATAGTTGTGAAATTGTCTCTACTTTTAGAAATATTATACTTTATTCCTCTTGAGTTAGAATCTTGGTTTCCTTTCTAGGAATAGCAATCATAGTATACCGGTAAAGGTGTCGTCCGAAGCCATTATTTCACTATCGCACAATAACACCCGTTATTATTGTAATCACCGTAATCACCGTAATCACGAACCATAATTTAAATAATCTAAATCATCACTATCTATAACGTACCGAATAATTGAGATAAAGTCTTGACACTCTTGGTGAAGAGCCTATTAAAACCAGCTGAAATGTCAGGCTTGGGAAGAGGAAGGAGTTTGAGTGAATACTTGATGTTTTCACTCGACAAAGTGTCTTCGTCTTCTTCTTGTGTTCCTACAAAACCAAGTACACACAGCAATCAAATCCGAAACCAAAATTAATGCAGAAACCAAAACAGTAAGAAAAGAAAGAAAGCAACTTTTGAGGGCAGGCCTAGATCTTCTAGGCTGGTGGTGGTGCACTGCAACAGCCACGCTTGCATCGGAGACACAACCAACGGAGAAGGGAAGAATAACAAGTCTTTCCATTTTGTCTCTCATTTCAATGGAACAAATGCAAAGAGACCAGCCAGTTGTTGCAGGAAATGCAACAATGGCAGGTGTAATTGGTTTGGTTATATGGATGGCGGTGGATATGACTTTGTCATCAAGTCACTATTATTCTTATCAAACAAGGTCAACATACATTTGAGTTCAGTTTGGTACAGAACAAGATAGGGTTTTAAAATGCCAACTGATATGATAGGTATATTTGGACGTGTGTTAATTGATATTAACTGCATTAAAATTCTCAAGTTCAAGCCTAAAACGGGACTAACCCAAACTAGGGACACTCTAAACTACATTTTGTTAATGTTAGTTTCGACATGTAACATTTTAGGTTGAACTAAAAATGTTATCTTTATTTATAAGATTTTCAGTTGTAGTCGAAAATATTATGAATTTGTATAACATTTTCAGTTGTAACTCTTAAAATCATTGTAATATAACATTTTAAGTTGCAACCAAGAATTTAAATAGTGGCATGTTACCGTAATAGGGTCCGCTGTATAGCGGTAGTGGTGTCCACAGCAACTGTTATTGCATGACCTCGATACCCGCAATCACCGCAATAACGCCTACTATATCCACAATCTCGATAAACGCAACACAACAAAAAATGCGACCACAAAAATCCTTTATTGCAACCAAAAATACTATAAATTTGTAAAACCTTTTAGGTTAAACATGATAACATTTTAAGATGAAAATTATCTTTAACTAATTAAATTAATTGCTGCACAGCAGAACCATCCACAAACTATGATTTAAAAGTAGGTTAAATTTGTGTGTTTAAGATGCAACAAGACTCAAAAACAACCCAAAACTTTCTGTCACTTTCCCAGGAAAACTTTTTAACTTTGCTAAGTCTCCAAAGTGGGCTCCTACTATCTTCACTTGCCTCTCTTATACAATAAGCTACCATTTTCTTTTCTGATTTGTATTTGTTGTCTATTGTTAAATTTTCTGGCTCAAACTTTTTGCTGGTGAAGATTTTTGTTTACGTAACTTGAACTCATCCATTCAAGCAGTACATCACAAGCGATCTTTTTGTGTGTGTTGAAAACAAACACCAATCTCCTGGGTTGGTGTTTCCTTGATTTTAAAGAAGAATACAATGATTGAGGATTGAAAATATAGATTATTGGAATTCCACACGTAAGAGTTTTATTTTCTATTTTAGGGTAAACTACACGTTTAGTATTTCAATTATCACTTTTGTTTTATTTTAGTCATCTAACTATTATGTTTTTCAAAATTATGCGTAACGTTACGTTTGATTTTATTTTGGCCATCTGTTGTTAGAAATTAATAAAACTACTGACATGATTTTTTTTGTTAAAAAAAATCAATGATGACATGACATTATCATATGGCGACTCATCGGTATCACCGTTAATATTTTAATAGTGGGTGACCAAAATGTAACGTTAGTTTTGATTTTAAAATAAAACTAGTTAGGTGACTAAAACAAAACAAAAATAATAAGATACTAAACGTAGTTTACCCTATATTTTATTCTTGTGTTCTAGAAATTAAGGTGGACCAACATCGTATTTTCTATTAGGTCATCATAATATCAAACTCCAAACCAATAGACATATTCTGTGCGTTATTAAATTAACCACATCTACTTATTGCTATCTTTTGATAATTAATTAATTATTGACAGAGAGCTATTTAGCTTTCTCTTTTGGTATTAGTAAATTATCACTATGCAAAATCGTTACATGTATTTTAAATAAATTAACAAATTAAGCATAAAAATTTATATTTTGATTTTAAATTAAAAAAATATGTTTGATATTTCACTTAAAACGGATTATTAAATATAATTAAACTTCTAAAATAATATAAAATTTTAAAGATAATGTATTTTGGAAGAAATAAAATAAAAAATTCTAGGGTACCTGGAGCAGTTTTGTTAGTTATCTATTTGTCATTTTCAAACGTTTTTGTAAATATAAAAGCTTTATCAGATATTTTTAAATTAAGATTATCAAATGTATTTAAAAATTAGGGTAACTACTTGGATGACCACCAACTATGGGGTTGGTATCGAAATGACCACTATTTTTAAATTTGCGTCAATATGACTACTGAACTATTTAAATGGGTTTAATATAGCCACTAGTCATTAAAATCTAATGGAGGGGTGATGTGATAGTTAACAAAAATTTGTATAATTACACATTTGATCTTTAATACTTGTATATTCTATCAATCTAGTCCTAATTTTAATTTAATTCAAAAAATTAATCCTCCAATCAGTATCATATGTCATTCGATTATTGAGACATATTTTAATAGTTACACATGTCATAACCAGATTAGAGAGTTTTAAATTAATTTTAATATTTTAATTAAATGAATTTTTCACCACTCAAATGGTGACACATGTCACCGCTGTTTAAAAGGAAATCAAACATAAGTGGAATATTGCTACCAAGAGGAATCAATCCTAAGACATTAGGCACAAGGTGGGCACGCCTCAACTATTGTGGCAAGCCCAATATTTGTTCGTTGTTTGTCAAACCTTATATATATCTGTTTTAAATTATACATAAATAATAATAATATTTTAATAAATAAATTATAGGATAAACTACTTGAATAACCGTCCAAATAATATTCTAATAAATTAATTATTAGTTAATGCAAGGTTTAAAAAAAATTCTTAAAAAATTGTATATTTTAAAATTATATTATTTTTTATATAATTATTTTAAACAAGTTTAAATTATATATATTTTTTCTTTCTTATATTTTTTATTCATTTATCATTTAAAAATAATATATGTTGAGATTTATGATGCTCTATCGATCAACTGAAAAAGTGCCAAGAGGGAGTGAATTGGCCAAATAAAATTTTGGGAGTATGGAGAAAAATGATAGAAAAATTTACTCAAGTATTTAGAGTGATTCAACTTCCTCAATGAAGTCTACAAACATTACCTTAGTCCACACTAATGATTTTTAACAAATTCACTAATTTATTGATTCTTTTTCTAGGCTCAAAAGTAACCTTTTACAACTACCTAGTTTTCAATGCTAAACTCGAACCAATCCCCTTTTACAAAAGAATAAAAAAAGAATGTAAACAAGAAACCTCTCAAATGAATGTGTTTACACAATTAAGCTCACTAAAACACTTATGTACTAGACAAAAGAAAAAAATAAGAATGAAAGAGTTTTTCTCTTGATATTTATTTCTTGGATAGGTGTTGTAACCTTCTTTAATCGTCCTCATCTTATTTTTGTATGTTGGAATGAATTTCTAGTCATTTCTAGCCATTGAGGGTGTTTTGGAGCCGTCGGGGACTTAATTGCTGCAAAATAAAACTACCCAGACCAATGATTATTGGTACTTGAATTTGAAGTATCGATACTACACTAATAAAAACTAATCATTTTTCGATCGTTGGGTTGGGAGTATCAATATTGAGGTTATGGTATCGATACTACTATACAAAGTATTACCGATACTCCTTTAATTATCAGTACCAAAAAGTTTACTAAAATATGAACACATTTAAAACCAATAGGCAATATTAGTACTTCCATGAGAGTATCGATACTTCTCTTACCATGGGCATCGATACTACAAGAACAATATTGATATTGTTCATGTGGTATCAATACTGTTAGAACAGTATCGATAATTCTTTTCTAGAAAATCATTTTTGTTCAAATTCAAGTTTTATGGACTTTGAATTATTTTTGAAAACTTTGAATAAATTCAATTTAGTCCAAACACATTTTACCCTTGAAATTTGTTATATCAAAATAGGTTCAACAATCTCCCATTTTTAATATAACAAAACAGTTTAAAAAAAATGTTTTTGGAAAACTCCCCCTTAATAAAACATTTAATGAAAAAGAGAAATATATTGGAAAGATATTAGAACTCCTTTCATTCTTGAAATTGAATTTTTTTTAAAATCCATATTTCTCCCCCCCCCCTTTTTCATATAAAAAATAATTCAAACGTTTAGGTTCAAAAATAACAATTGAGAAGTAAGTATACATTTTTAACATAAAAACCATTTGAAAAATAAAAAGCTCCCCTCAACAAATGCATTAAAAAATTGACTTTAAAAGCTTGACACTTAAAAACTATTGAATTTCAACAAAGATGAGCAAACATGTTAGTAACACATGAAATTCAATAAATCCAAGTCTATACTACTTTATGCAATATTAACATGATACATTATAGTCCATATGCATAAAATTATCCAAAAATGTTATGCATTTGAAAAAATTGATGTCAATTGTTAGAGAGGCATCATTTGTAATAAAAAGCACGTGCATAAACACTTAAATTTAAGGTCAAAATAAAAACAAAATTGTAAAAATAAAACATTAAAAGCAAATTTGACCAAAAATCATTATGATGAACTAAAAATTTAATGAAAATCATCAAAGCTTTAAAATGTTCACCATAATACATGTTAACATACATGAGAAAATTTTATCATTTATGCTTAAAAACTCATGCATGCATAAACAAAATAGGCAACCAATATATAGAAATAAAAACATTAAATTTAGAGGTTACACATTCCTTTCTTTGTGTAGCTAAAGCATTTGAATTTCTTCACTTTTGTCACCATTGCTCCCACACACTTACAAGAGACATTTATTTGGATTTTGGTATCCAAATTGCTTTAAATCCTTAAATGTTAGTGTAAAAGTCTCTTGTTCTCTTGGGAACCCATACTTGCCTAATTTAAAAGGTTTTCTAAGTTTTAAAGAACAAATATGTTCCATGTGACCATGGAAATGACAATATGAGCATTTTGCCATTTTTAAACATGATAAATTGTTTTGAGAAATTATTTCTTTTTCTTTTATTAAGCATTTAAGTTTAACTTTTAAATCAAGATTTTATTTTTCTAAATCATTGATTTTGATTTTTGAAACTTCAAAATCATTTTTCAAAATTTCATTTTATTTTTCAAAATCCATTTTTGCTTTCAAAAGAAAATCATTTTCAACTTTAAATTTTGAAATCAATTTCTTATATTTGGA